CCAGAGTTTTCATCATCTCCTTCATTGAGACTTCTTCATCAGAACTTTCATCACTCTCTGCTATCAATACCTTTTTCTTCTTCTCCTTCTGTGCTCCTTTCCCCTTCCCAGAACTGCTATCCTCTGCGACTAGAGCGAGTGGACCACCATAGTTCTTTTTCATTTGCAAAACTTGAGGCTCTTGGCTTTTAAGAGATCCAAACAAGTCTGCCAGAGTCCACCTTTCCAAATCTAAGGTGGCCTTCATAGACATGGTTAGGTGCATCCATTCAACTCCAAGGCTTTTCAAGAATAAAGAGTTGTTGTCCTCTGCCGTTCTCATGACTCCATACCTCTTGCAGTTGCTAATCAAGGTGTTCAATCTAGAGTATGTGTCCGACAGGGATTCACCTTCCTTCGCCTTGAAGCTGTGGTATTCGTCAATGCAAATTGATCGATTGTTCTTGAGTGTTTTCTTACCTTCTTCAATCTGCTTTTCTAATTCTGTCCAAATATCCATGGACAATTGACAGTGATCGATGCATTTGAAGATTTTGTGAGGTATTGCCATGATTAACAATCGTTTGCACTTGCTGCCCAATTCAACCAGTATTTTGTCCTCATCACTCCAGTTTGCAATAGGACGTGGTTTGTAATGCTCAGGAATTTCTGGAGTTGTTCCAGTGGCTGGAACTCTTGGAATTAAGTTCATTGGGACATAAGGAGGATTATAGAGGAATTCACATATTCTTGGATGAATTCCTTCCAAAAAATTAACCATTTCGCACCTTCCATTGGGGATACTCCTCACGAATAAGCGTGGGAGGTTTAGATTGAGAACCAGTGCTCATGAATGATGTATTGGCCATGATGTATTGGCCAGATTCGCCATTGAAAAGAAGAAGAAAAATAGGAATAAGAAGAAACTGATAAAATAAAGTAAAACAGGGTAACCTGAAGAAGAAGAAGAAGAAGACTGGTGTTCTAGAACAAATGCAGATTAATACCAAGAACAGAATTAATCAAATAAGAATTTGATTCCTGCTTTGATACCAATTGTTAGGACCTGTAAACTCAGTTTTGATATCAATCAAATACTCTGGATGATCTTTAAGACAAACAAAGTGCAGCGGAAACAATATAAGAACAAACAGAGTAATAATCAAGAACACATAGTATATGAGAATGATAAACACGGGAGAATAGCTTCAAAGGTTTTTCAATTGATTGAAAATAAGACGATTACAATTCGGAAGAACGCGGAATTACAAAGGCCTAGCTGCTATTTATACTAGTTCCTATCGACCTTTCTGACATGACCTAGACAAGTGAAATCATCCAAGTCGTCCAAATAAAGTCGATTACAGACCTAGTCACGTGAGAGGCACGTGCAGCTAATCAACCTAAGTAAAACAGTAAGAAGAGGTTCTCCACAGAAGATGAACCGCAGACCCTCTGTGAGCCATCCCAGAGGCTCTGCTGCATATGACTTGTAAGCTCTTGATAACAGAGGACCTTTTTCCAGAACCTCTGTGAGAGACAACAGAGGTTCTGTCAATCTTGACTTGTACGAGCAAACAGCTTCTGTTGCTGGTCCTCTGTTGTCTTCTGGGGAATAAACCTTTCTGTCAACACTTGCAGAAATCTTTTTCATACTTTTACATTAAGCAAATATTGGAGCTAACACAAATATTGACATCAATGACCGTGGGAGCACCCACAGCTTTCATCCCACTTATTCTTGAACTTGCCACCATCTTTTGTGTTCCTTTCTTTCATTACAACCATCGGAGGGACTTGAATCTTCGAAGTTACACAAACAGAAGGTGATTTAGTGATAGTTTTCTTTGATCTCATCACTATCCATCTTTCTTATTCCATCTTTGATGACTTAAAAATCTCTCTCCATGGCACCTCAGCTCTTCCCAACAGTTGTGACGACCAACCACCAATGTTTTCATCGCCACCAATGATCATTCGGATCAATGGAACTGTACTTCTACAACGAATTTCGAAAACTACAGTTACTTGAAAGGTCATATCCATCGATTGCTTTTTCTCTAAGCAATCCAACGAGAATGACTCGTTCCAAGAGAAGTAGCCTCCACTTGTAGATATATTTCGGCTATCCAAACGCACTCTTTTGTTTTTTCTAGCTGAAAGGTAGCATCTAACGAACAAGTAGCCTTTGGAGTCCCTAACTTGGATGATTTTAGCACTTATAATCTTTACTTCAATTGAAGAGAGGATAAAGCTTTTACTACGTCCATTGTATATCTTTTGATGTTCTCCATTTGTATGGACAAGAAGACTAAATGGGGTGGTATATATATATATGGATGTGGAGTAGTGGAGACTACATGGAAACCTGTTATAGAAGTCCAGAAACATCAACTGATCCCAAGCAGTGGTCATCTGTAACTGGACCTTAGTGCATAGTTAATTTACATATATAGGATTTGAGATACGATCCTCCCACAGAGTATTATAACGAATACCTAGGAATGTTGACACTACTCCAATCCCATTAGTCTTTGCCATTGAAGGAGATTGTTATTGAAATACAAAAAGTAAAACCATATATTTTGTTAAGAATTTGCATGTAATTAAGAATTCTTTAGTATTAATATATACCTAGTTAAGCCCTAGAAAACCTTGAAAGGACAAGAAGTTACAAAATGATCGATGAGCTTAGAATCCGGACAAGTCAAAATAGAGCAATAAGATCAATCACAAGATTCAAGCGATGAATAGATTCTCCGAATGACTCTTTGAGCTTGGTTATCGGACACCACTTATCCGATGAGCAACAAAATCAAGATATCAGACAACTCAAATTTATCAAAACTTGAGTGATAACACATTTGAACGATGAATAACACTTTTAAGTACAAATTAATCGTCCGATGAACATGAACACATAAACCCAGAATTCGAAAATCACTCAAAATCACTTATAAATTGTAAATTGATGCAATTTTCTTGCACAGAACAGTTCGTAAATGATGCAGAAACAGTTTTAACATATTCCAATATAGCATAAATGTATCAAATAGCACAAATTTGGCAAAATCTTGCAATTTTTCAGAAAATTAATGATCAAGAATATGTAATTGAAATCCAATCCAGTCAATCTGATTCAGCTCTGATACCAATTGTGATCCCGGATTATCAAGTCTAATAACAATTCAATTCATAGCAAGATCAAGTAGATTGAAACAAATCTGTCATCTTGCTTTCATAGAATGATGAGTAAGTTCTTGATACAATCCTTAGGTATACGTATGAACGAATCTGTCAATCACTTACTGCTACAACCAACTAACAATACATATTGCTACTTTATAGCAACCACTAAAACAGGAAAGATAACCAACTACCTTTACAAACTATAAAAGGAAACCATAACTAAACAATTACAAAGCATATTAAAATAGTTTAAGCACCGGTACTTGAATACAACATTCTTGTTCCAATAGATCCACTTATGAAGAGTTCATCAGGTCGATGAACTTAGCCTTTCCATAACCCCTCTGGTTTTACAGCAATTGAAGAATCATCAAGTGTCAAACATAGTTCAATCAGATCTACTCTTACAAGTAGATACGTGATAAATCCTGATTGGACACACTACCCAAAGACAGTTGGACGTGACTCATCACCAGCATGCATTATGTTACTCTAGGTAGTTAGAGATAACCCCCATCATTCTATATAGATATTTGCTCCTCTTTTATCTCATAGATATCCTATACTAGCTTGTTATCTCTTAGACTACATTGCTAGTATAAATATCATTCATATCTCTTATAATTTAAAGTAACCTTCTCATTATCGTTATTATAGTGAAATTACTTGAAAGCTTCATACTTTCTTGTATATTATTTAAGTTGTTCTTCACTTTCCTCATTCAAACAATAGATTTAGGTTCTTAATCTTAAATCTTCATGTTATATTGAGAGATCTGGGATCTACATAGCCTTCCCTCATTATATTGTTTTATAGCTTTCCCTCATTGTCAAGTTTTATAGCCTTCCCTCATGGTCGAGTTTTTTTTTTATAAAGATGCAACAAGACTGTTATAGTAAGATGATAATGATAAGCTACATAAAGTAGACCATTTTATAGTTATATGTTTTGTTTTTTACTCAAGTAATACAATTTAATAACAACTATATATTCGTATGCAGAGTACAATCAGATTGAAAGAGGATTTTCCGAGACTCATGTGAGGTATGTTCTATGGATATGGTAGGCTTCTGGATATGGTAGGCTTCTAAAAATGGTAGGCATCTGGGTTTTAAAAAAGGAGTATAAGTAGATCGAGGGTGTGTTTTGACGTTGGAACAAGTTCGCCATTTTTTTTTGGGATGTGAAATTGCTCAAATTTCATGGATGATACATATCTAAATATATGTTTTATTTATCAACATTTTCATTGATTATTGTTGTATTGCAAGTCTAATTGTGGGTGTTTATTTAATTTTCTTTTCATATTACTCTTAATCTGTGATTTTCTGGTATCGATCTTATCTTATGTAATGCTTATGTTTCTTCTTCTTCTTCTTCAATACATTAATACTACCTGGTTTCTTAAAATAACCGGTTCCATTAGTCATACTAGCAAAGATACTACTCGGTTATTAAAAAGAACCGAGTTATATTAAGCAACATTCACATCCCTCCTACCTAGATACTACCCAGTGGAATAATTAAAACTGGGCTGCATTAGGCGAATGCAACCCACTTAGTAACCGTGACCCCCCCCCCCCCCCCAAATAGGACCCTGTTACATAACAGGGTAGTATATCATTTTGCAACCGGGTAGTATAATCATCTCTCTAGTACTGGTGTTCGAGTATCATGATTTTGATTTTAAAGAAAAAACTTGGTGAAGAAACACAAAAAATATACATGTTTAATTGCTCACACTGAAAGTTAATTGGTATAGAAAGAGACCATGGTTTCTCATAACTTCTCTAATTCCTAATTAATCTATGTACTTTCTGCATTTCTGTTTACTAGAAAGCATCCAGGGCAAGTCCCATTGCAACCATCTCGCTATCTACACACAAATTTTGACAGCAATGACCGTGGGAGCACCCACAGCTTTCATCCCACTTATTCTTGAACTTGCCACCATCTTTTGTGTTCCTTTCTTTCATTACAACCACCGGAGGGACTTGAATCTTCAAAGTTACACAAACAGAAGGTGATTTAGTGACAATTTTCTTTGATCTCATCACTATCCATCTCTCTGATTCCATCTTTGATGACTCAAAAATCTCTCTCCATGGCACCTCAGCTCTTCCCAACAGTTGTGACGACCAACAACCAATGTTTTCATCGCCACCAATGATCATCCGGATCAATGGAACTGTACTTCTACAACGAAGTTCGAAAACTACAGTTCCTTGAATGATCATATCCATCGATTGCTTTGTCCCTAAGCAATCCAACGAGAATGACTCGTTCCAAGAGAAGTAGCCTCCACTTGTAGATATATCTCGGCTCTCCAGACGCACCCTTTTGTTATTTCCAGCCGAAAGGTAGCATCTAACGAACAAGTAGCCTTTGGAGTCCCTAACTTGGATGTTTTTAGCACTCACAATCTTTACTTCAAATTGAAGAGAGGATAGAGCTTTTACTGCGTCCATTGTGTATCTTTTAACGTTCTACAATTGTATGGACAAGAAGACCATTGGGGTGGTATATATATAAGGATGCGGAGTAGTGGAGACTACATGGAAACCTGTTATAGAAGTCCAGAAACATCAACTGATCCCAACCAGTGGTCATCTGTGACTGGACTTTAGTGCATAGTTAATTTACATATATAGGATTTGAGATACGATCCTCCCACAGAGTATTATGACGAATACTTAGGAATGTTGACACTACTCCAATCCCATTAGTCTTTGCCTTTGAAGGAAAATGTTATTGAAATACAAAAAGTAAAACCATAGATTTTGTCAAGAATTTGCATGTATATAAGAATTCTTTAGAATTAATATACACCCACTTAAGCCCTTGAGAACCTTGAAAGGACAAGAAGTTACATGGTGGCTTTGATGAGGCCAAATGCTAAAGCCGACCTAGTAACTCACTGCAAATATTCTAAACATCAAACCCCAAAGTGTATTTTCCGCTAAGTTTAAGTTGTATGCCATGAAAATCGTCCCTATTTAACGCTGCAAAGTAGATTGTGTTGACCATCATGATATTTAAGGAAGGTGAATTTAAGTTTATATGTTTACAGTAGAATAATGCTAACAACATCATGCATCAGGAAAGATAAAGTTCGGCAAATTGTGATTTGGGCCTAAGTGTGGAGGAATGAGACTTAATGTTCATGGGAACCTATGATAGGACCAACAGGGGTTGTCATGCTTAAACACGCGTAACTTTTATACCGGTCTCCGTTTCACGCCAAAGCTATGCCGAGTTCGAAGCTAAGAACTAGGAGCATGGCACACGAAGAACCCAAAGAGGCATACAGGATTCTAGCCCAAAAACATCGTTAATTTGGCATGTTTTGAGGAACTTTTCGTTTATGTTTTATTTGCCATTTTTCTCATTTTACCCGTTTGGACTTTTATGTTTCACCATCATCTTTTCCAAACCCATTACTTTTGAACTCCCTTTATATATAAAGATAGTATTATTTGGATTCTCAGTTGATGAACCATACGTTTCCCTTTCCACCAACCTCCTGAGTTCTTGAATTCGAGTCTGAGTTTAAACATGGAATTATTGGAATCAACTAGTTTTACAAGAGGCTTACTAAGTATTCGTAGAATCAATAAGACTATTCTTTGTCACTGGTTATCCTATTCCAAGAAAAGCAATACCTCCAGTCAACCATTGGAGTTTTCAGTAGATATATTCTGTTGAATTTGGTAGCATTACCAATGAAATAAAGGCTATTTTGATCATTACCAATAGAATATAGGCTATTCCATTGGAGCTATCTTGCTACCAAATCCATTGGTCATTAGTTTCTTTATAAAACTAGCAAATGACCAAGAAAGCTCTAAAGTTTCACATTTATCGGAGTATGACTTTTATCAAATATATTCAAGTACTTTTAAATGTGAAAAAAAGTAAGAAAGAAAAAACCCAATGATATTTAAGCTGGAAAATACATTCACATGGCATATATATAAAATAGAGTTCACGTGGATAAGAAGTCAAGAAACATCAACCGATTCCAACCACATCGTTAGTGATTTGACCATGTGTATTATTAAATACATTGGACTTGACACTAATTCAATCACTTTGAACAAAAAGTTTTAAAATACAAAAAGTAAAATCAGGAAAGATTTTGCTGAGTTCTAAAATAGAGGTGTTTCCTTCCTAGAATTATTGAATTTGCAGGTAATTAATTAAGTAGTCTGGAGAATCATACAGAACTTTTCAATAAACCCTTGCTAAGTTTAAAAGTACAAGCTTTCATGAAGCCAAAGGCTATCAGAAGTTGAGCCAACTTAGCAGTTTATCTTTGCCATACACACATATATATGGCGACGGCCGCATGTCCAGATCAAAAATATCAGGGGCCCAAATTTTTTCTTAAAATACAGTAGTAGTCTAAAATAATTTAATAAATTAAAGAAATCCAAAAATTGTAACATATAATAAGAGGCAAAAAGAATTTAGTTGATAAAAAGGGTCCAAAAATATATCAACTAATTACATTGGAGAAAAAAATAAAAAAAAATTAATTGGTCATTAATTATATGTTATTGCTTATTGTCTCTCTAATTTTTTTTTATCTCCAACAAGGTCTAGTGATATTGGCTATTGATATCTCTATATGTTTGAATGTTTTTCGTGCTTCAACAATTCAACGTTAAGATCATGATGTTCCATAAACTTTTAATTTTAACATCTTATTTTAGTTGAGCAAAAAAAGACGAAAAATATAATTTAAATATTTTCATCAATTGTTTGACTTATGTATTTTTCATTGGGATTCCACCACATTACACTATTCTATTTAAGTGTTCAAACAATCATTTGTTGAGTTTGAATATTATATGTTTAATTCATTATGTATTCTTATTAGATCTCAATTGATCATCTTTTCTTTCATATTCTTATTGATTTTCATTTGTCTACTTGTCAAAAAAATCTTGATAATCTTCTTTATTATTGATCTCTTATTGACCCCCACGATTACTTCTTTCACACAAATTCTCTTTTTGTATCAAAATAACACATATTTTTTGTTATGCACTAAAAAAATTCATACGTTTTATAACAAATTATCAACGATAGTTTCTATACTCTTGGTTTCAAATTACCTATCAAGAAGTATGTAAATTTAAATACTCTCTTATATATCTATAATAAAGATAAATAAGATTTCTTTCCTTAGTAAATTATTAGCATTTCTTGTACTCAATTTTATACTAATGTAAAACATTTATTCGTATTTACCGAGGGTCACTACAAGAAAAGTGAACTTTGACGATGCGTCTAGCGATGACATGTTTCCACCACAAGTTATAGCGACGACATGTTGTTATATATTCTTTCTAATGATAAATGGACTTTTAGCGACAATAAAATTCGTTGCAAAAAGCCTTGTTTTCTTGCGGTGGGTCTTGTTTTTACGTTCGTCCAAGGTTTATAAAATATCAGGAACGGGCCTTTATATATATATATATATATATATATATATATATATATATATATGTGTGTGTGTGTGTATCATACATGGACATTATAGTTCTGTTTGATCAGGATCATATCGCTTGTAAACCATTGATGCATCGTTGCTAATCTAAGGTCTTAGCTAGTTGGATAAACATAAAGCTTCCTAGAGCTTGACTTGCATTGCTTCATGAATCATTATCCACATTGCTTTGGTTTATCTGCAAATGACTTGTAATTAACTAATTCAGATAATTATAATAGCACATCTTAGAGTGATGGTTGCTGACTATAATCACAACAAAGGGATCAACTTAATTTGGCATATATACATAACCATAAAGAAAGCATATTTGCCACCATGGCATCTAGGAATTTTAGTGAGGGATGGTAAGATAATTTCAGTATTTGCTTAATTATACACTATTAGAAAACCAGGTATCAGCGACGAATACCAGCGAGGAAAAAAATCCCTCACATATCAGCGAGCGATCAGCAAGGGAAATGTCAAAAAGTCATTCCCTCGCTAATCAGCGAGGGATCAACGAGGGAATGGATTTCTAGACATTCTCTCGCTGATCCTCGCTGATCTGCAAAGGATCAGCGAGGGAATGAGTTTTTTGGCATTTCCCTCGCTGATCCCTCGCAGATCAGCTAACGATCAGCGAGGGAATCTGATTTTTGCCATTTCTTTTATTTTATAACTACAAATTTAATTAATTATAAATTTTAATTATTTATTATTTATTAGAATATTACAAAAATTAATTAATAAAGCCGATTAGGCCCAATAAAACCGAATAAATTTCATTAAGGCCCATTAAACCAAATTAAACCAAATAAAACCGAATAAAGTTCATTAAGGCCCGATAAACTCAATGAAGCCCGGTAAACTCAATGAAGCCCGATAAATAGATTAAGGCCCAATAAAACCGAACAAAACCTAGTTAAATGGGATAAGCCCAATAAAACCGAATAAATCCGCATATAACACATACACACACACACACTATCTATACATTCACATATACACATACGTTTAAACATATATACATCGATTCAATCGTGGTTAGCAACCAGTACACATCGTGTATATATGTGTATATAACATTGACCGACGGGTATATATACATATWACACATACAACGTCGTGTAAACATATGTATATAACACGGGCTGACGGATATATATAGTTATAACACATGTACATGTATACATACGATACCTAAATATAAAAATGTGTACATGTAACACTTAAAAATCAAGAAAATAGGACAATTCGCTCATTGATCCCTCGCAGATCAACAAGGGATCAGCGAGGGAAATGGCCAAAATCAGATTCCCTCGCTAATCCCTCGCTGATCAGCAAAGGATTAGCGAGGGAAAATAATTTTGGCCAATTCTCTCGCTGAATAGCGAGGAAATCTGATTTTCACCATTTTTTATTTTATAACTACAAATTTAAATACTTATAAATTATTTATTATTTATTAGAATATTACAAAAATTAATTAGTAAAGCCGATTAGGCCCAATAAAACCGAATAAAGCGTATTAAGGCCCATTAAACCAAATAAAGTCAAATAAAAGTGAATATAGTTCATTAAGGCCCGATAAACTCAATGATGCCCGGTAAATAGATTAAACATATATATGATGTGCTAAAATCGTAAGTGTGTACACAGTGGGCATAAAATCCCCAAAGTGGTGGTGTAAGTGCACGCCGACACTAAGATCGCTTCAAGTAATAAAGTGGTATAGTACCAAGATCGTTTCCACAGGGACCGGACTTACTGAGAATCAGAGACTTTCATGAACTTCTTGACAATGTTTCGGGTTGAGAAAATATTTGAGTTTTGATTGGTGCAAAGCTTTAAAATATGAAATAAA